AAATAGTTAATTTGATACGAATATCGATATATTTTTGTTATGCATAAAGTACTGTATATTGATGCATATTACTTAAAATTCAAGATTACAAGTAATTATACATAAGTACAACTTATTAAAACTCTATTTTAAAATCGTGTAACTAACTGTAGATAAATTTAATCAAATACAAGATAAACATTCATTTTAAATATAGAAAATCAAAAATATAAATAAGATAATCATTGAGTTCTAACAGAATGTTTAATTATTATCTTTATATAAAAAAATAAACCATTAAACCAAAAATAAATTACTTTTTTATTAAATCTAAATTAAATTATAATAAAAAATTGGATTAAATAAGTTACACCAAAAAAACAAGAACTATTAAATAGTTAATTTGATACTAATATCAATTTATTTTTTTCAATTTTTATGCTATCTTCAAATTTATATTTCATTAAAAAATAAAAACATTACTTTTTTATCAAAACCACATAAAATCGTATTATATCGATAAAGACTAGAATAAAACCAAACATTAAAATCGAGATTTATCTCGCTGCATTGCGCGAGTACCCTTCTAGTATTATAAAAAACCAAATTGTTTCTTTTATATTTTATTTTTATTTCAATTAATTACTGTTTAATACTTCTTACCAAACACCCCTTAATTTTAAAAAATTTCATTGGTATAGAGAATAAAAATAATTTTCTCTTTTCTAAGTAATCACTTTTTTGGAGTTCTCCAAATTCAAAAGATTTCATTTTCTCTCTTTTACTTCTTTCGTTTGGAATAAAGTTTTGAAATATCTGTTAAAACAAAAATTTACAAAATCTAAAAAAATAGCTGGACTTTGGCCCACATTTATGAGAAGTTGGTGACGTTGGTATTACTAGAACTTCACCAATTAATTAGGGGTCATTGCTTACGAAATGTGTGTAAATATTTTATTAATTGATTTTGTTTTTGATGATTTTATATATTATATTGAAACGTTATAAATTATTGTAAAAATATATCATTGCAATCAATAATATTGTTCAACTAAATGAAATTAATAATGAATAAATACAAGTACAAAATGAAATAAATGTACCAAAAATTGCAAAATAATCATATTAAAAGAACAAACCCGAAACACAGTAACTATAAAAATAAAAAAGTTTGGTAAACGTCTCCCATAAGTAATTACGTTGAGTCTATAAATGACAATATCTATATCATTTTAATTTGAAATTTATAAATTTATAATTGTGTTACGTTTCAATAACACAAATTCAAATAGTTGAATTTTCTTTACATTCACCAAATCCTTACCCTGACTAAAATGTCATTTTTGTATGGTCATAGACACATACTATTACCACAAATTTCTGAATTTTCTTATATAATTTTAAAATAATTAATATAACAAGCTGGAAGCTGACGATAATTAATTATTGTGACAGCTTTTTCTTATTAAATGATTTAATTTAAAATTTTGAAATTTAATTATAAGCTATCATACAAGGGGTTCACACATATTTGGTAACAAATCCATCCAAAAATGATGTTTTTAACCACATATGTAGGATATGTTGTTTGTGCACCACCAAAATTACATACATTTTTTAATTTCTTATATCCACTTATTTCGGCAACCATAAATTCATGTTCTATTTGAAATGTCACAAACGTCGTTTTTTTTCAATCATGTTATAGTTTATGGTTGTTAGTTAACGATGTTAATCTTAAGGAACATAAATGTTATGCAAATGAAAAAAAAATGAGGACCATCAGTATAGATAGTTTGTTTTAAGAAGTAAATTCAAACTTTAAAAAGGAATATATTATATTTGTGTTAAAAAATAAGTTAGATATTTAATTTGCATATAAATTTGTACAAGTGTCTTTAAATTTATTTACATTTATATATGTATATATTACAGATAAGGGAGAGAGAGATGTATGTAATTTGTTTTTGGTAAAAAATGATATAATGTCAAACCCCTAAATCATTATTTAATGTTTATTTAATAAATGATATTAATTATGTTAACAAATGGCTTAACATAAATTTAATGGGTCTCATAAAATTTTAGGTTTCTGAGGAGAGGGAGAGAGATATGTATGTAATTTGTTGTTCCTAACAAATGACTTAAGAGTCGTTTACGAAAACACTTATCCGGTAAGTGTTTATCGGTAAATTTAACACTATCATTTACCTACCGGGTAAGATTTTAGTCCACTAAGACGGTATCGTATGCAACAATTTACTTGGTAAGCGCTTACCATGGTAAGAGTCGTCATCATCACTTACCGGGTACGACTCTTGGTCTTTGTCTTGTTCTTACCGGGTAAGATTTTTGGTCGTTACCATATTCATTTGGTAAGGTAATGTAACTTGATATTCACTTACCTGAATAAGCATTTGATAAACAGCCCCTTAATGTCAAATTCTAAATTACCATCGATTAAATGTTTTATAATGGATCTAAATTTTTTTACAAATTTTAAAGTTTTTAAATGATTAACTCCATCATTATGTGTATATATATATGGTTGGGTTCCGATGAAAAATAAAGTTATGCTGAGAAGTGTAAGAAAAAAATTTCACCCTTAGATCAATCTAATTGAATCCGGATCACTTCCCTTTTAAAGCACAACTCATGTGTTGCATGAGATTAAAAGTAATCAAGTATTGAGATATGCTCTTACACTTTTCATATAATTATTCGTGTATATATATATATATAAAGTTATAGTGAGAAGGATAAGAATATATTCTCATTCTCACCCTTGGATCAATTGTAAATTGAAAATCAATACTAATGCGGTGCATTGAAATATATGATTTAATGAATATGTCGATTATTTTTTCTAATATAAAACGTTGATCATAGTTAAATAAGTTTTGATAATTTTTTATAAATATCTAAAATATAATATATAAATTTTCATATTTTTATGAATATTAAAATTAATTAGTTTATATAATTTACCGTGTTCGTAAATTTTATCTTATTTGTATATATAATTACTAGAAGGATACTCGCGCAATGTAGCGAGATACATCGAGATAATGTTTCGTTTTATTTTGTCTCTGTCGATATAATACGGTTTTATGTGACTCTAAGAAAGCGACAATGCTTATATTCATAAAAAAATTGAAAAAATATATATCGATATTAGTATCAAATTAACTATTTAAAAATATTGTTTTTTTATGTAATTTATTTACCATGATTTAATTTAGGTTTAATAACAAAGTAATTTATTTTTGGTTTAATAATCTATACTATATTATAAAGCATTTAACAAAAACTCTTAAAAACCATTTTTTATACATAAAGTACTGTTTATTAATGCATGTTACTTCAAACTCAATATTACAAGTATATTGTAGGTAAGTACACCTTATTAAAGTTCCATATCTGAATTCGTGTAACTAACTGTAGATAAACATAATCAAATATAAGATAAACATCTCATTTTAAATATATAAAATCTAAAATATAATTAGGATAATCATTGAGTTCTAACAAAATTCTTAATTATTATCATTATAAATATTATATTATTAAATCAAAAATAAATTTTTAAACTTAAATTAAATTATAATAAAAAAAATAAATTAAAGATTATTTAATAAATGAGAATTTCTAAATAGTTGATTTGATACTACTATTGATATAATTTTTTCGAATTTTTATGATATTTTCAAATTTACATTTTTTTCAAAAATAAAATCATTATTACTTTATTAAAAACACATAACATTGTATTATAACATCGACAGAGACAAAAAATAAAACAGAACATTAAAATCGAGATGTATCTCGCTGTATTGCACGAGTACCCTTCTAGTATAATTTTTATAAGRATAATAATCAAGTATTCTATTATTAAGTATAACTCAATGATTATCCTAATTATATTTTAGATATTTTATATTTAAAATGAGATGTTTATCCAATATTTGATTATGTTTATCTGCAGTTAGTTAGACGAAATTCAAATATGGAGCTTTAATAAGTTGTACTTATGCACATTGTAATCTTAAAATTTAAGTAATATGCATCAATAAACAATACTTCGTATATAAAAAATCGTTTTTAAGAGTTTTTGTCAAATGCTTTATAATATAGTATAGATTTGTATAAGGATAATAATCAAGTATTCTGTTATTAAGTATAACTCAATGATTATCCTAATTATATTTTAGATATTTTATAGTTAAAATGAGATGTTTATCCAATATTTGATTATGTTTATCTACAGTTAGCTAGAATGAAATAATAAAAGTTGCATTTAAAATTTTTTAAGAGTTTTAATCAAATGTTTTATAAAATAGTATAGATAAAGTACGATTGTTTATATGGTTTTATAGAAAAAAGAAAAAATATAAATATAAAAGAGCTCACCTACTACCACTAGTGTAATACGTTGAGTGCATTGAATGGAAAATACCCACTCGCTATTCTGGTCCGTCGTCCCCACGTCAGCAAGATCTAGACCGTTGATCTGACATGACATAATCAAACGGCCGAGATTAATTCTTCTAACCAACCTACCACCTTGCCCCCCTTTTTCCTTTTCGTTTCCACCTACCTACCAATCCCTTCCCTCCTCCCACCACCTCTTCTTTCTATATAAACTCCACCCCTTCGCCACCATTAAAACTCAGCAATCTCCATATCCTTTCACACACAAAGAGTGTGAGTCTAGTGTGTGAACAAGATCATCAGATTGTTCTTACTTCAATACTCTAGCTATCATATCCGATCTGTACTATACATATATAAACAATAATGGAGAACGGCAATCATGTGAATGGAGTCGTCGTCAATGAGTTTTGCATCAAGGACCCCTTGAACTGGGGTGTGGCAGCTGAGGCGCTCACCGGAAGCCATCTTGATGAGGTGAAGAAGATGGTGGCTGAGTTCAGGAATCCGTTGGTGAAGCTGGGAGGAGAGACACTGACGGTGTCTCAGGTGGCCGGGATCGCAGCTGCTAATGACAGCAACACCGTGAAGGTGGAGCTGTCGGAATCAGCTAGGGCTGGGGTGAAGGCCAGCAGTGATTGGGTTATGGAGAGTATGAGCAAAGGAACCGACAGTTACGGTGTCACCACCGGCTTTGGCGCCACCTCTCACCGGAGAACTAAGCAAGGTGGTGCTCTGCAGAAGGAGCTCATTAGGTATATTTCATACCCCATATATCTCCGATTTACAAATATCATTATATATAATATTTAAAAATATCTTAAAACAAATAGTAATTATATAATTGTTTTTATAAGATTCATGTTTGTGAGTATCGTTTGAATTCGTGTGATTCCATCGATGTGACCAATTATATACATGTGATCCATGATCTAAAGTGTAATTATAACGAAAAAGATGGTTAACTTTATACCCTTGGAAATTCGAATATAAAAATACTTCAAGTGGTAACAATGGGGTCGTTTCGGTGAGATTGTAGGTCGAGATCTGATTTAATATTTTTTAACGTTAAATGATAACATAAACGAACTTTATATATATTCGCTAACAGATGTGAATTCATAATTATGTAAACAGTAAGTAGTAGTAGTTGTAAAATATGTTTTATTTCATTATAAAAGATCAAATTCTAAGTAATATTTATTCAAGTGGAGTAAGTTAAATAATGAACGGTACAAAATAAATTGGTTGAAAGTCTATTTAGCCGCCTTTGGCCGGCTAGTGGTAGGTAATACGTATATATATATATATAAACATACATTTTTTTTAATTTAAAAATAAAAACAAAAATAAAAATAAAAATACGTATACGTATATTTCCAATATGGGGTAGGTAAAGGTGCATGTAGGTTCACGATCCAATTTATATTTATATTTAATTTAATAAAATATATTTTTATTGTTTAATCCATAATTAAATATTGTATTTATTAAATTGTAACTCATATGGCTACGTGAACTTTATCAGATTTTTGAACGCCGGAATATTCGGGAATGGAACGGAATCAAGCCACACTCTCCCACATTCGGCAACAAGGGCCGCCATGCTGGTCAGGATCAACACCCTCCTCCAGGGCTACTCCGGCATCCGATTTGAGATCTTGGAAGCCATTACCAAGTTCCTCAACAATAATGTCACCCCTTGTTTACCCCTCCGTGGTACAATCACCGCCTCCGGTGACCTCGTTCCCTTGTCCTACATCGCCGGCCTTCTCACCGGCCGTCCCAACTCCAAAGCAGTTGGCCCCACCGGAGAAATCCTTAATGCTGAAAAAGCCTTCGCCCAAGCCGGTGTCGAAGGTGGGTTCTTCGAGTTGCAGCCTAAAGAAGGCCTAGCACTTGTGAACGGCACCGCCGTGGGTTCCGGGATGGCATCGATGGTGCTTTTTGAAGCTAATGTGCTTGCATTGTTGTCGGAAGTCTTATCGGCCATTTTTGCTGAAGTTATGCAAGGAAAGCCCGAGTTCACCGACCACTTGACTCACAAATTGAAGCATCACCCGGGTCAAATCGAAGCTGCAGCCATCATGGAATACATTTTGGATGGAAGCGATTACGTGAAGGCTGCACAAAAGGTCCATGAAATGGACCCTTTGCAGAAACCCAAACAAGATCGCTACGCTCTCCGCACATCGCCCCAGTGGCTCGGACCACAAATCGAAGTCATTCGCTCAGCCACCAAAATGATCGAGAGGGAGATCAACTCCGTCAACGACAACCCATTGATCGATGTTTCAAGAAACAAAGCCTTACATGGTGGCAACTTCCAAGGAACCCCAATCGGTGTTTCCATGGATAACACCCGTTTGGCCATCGCAGCGATCGGGAAACTCATGTTCGCCCAATTCTCCGAGCTTGTMAAYGATTTYTACAAYAAYGGGTTGCCKTCGAATCTCTCCGGTGGGCGTAATCCAAGCTTGGATTACGGGTTCAAAGGTGGAGAAATCGCCATGGCTTCCTACTGCTCCGAGCTCCAGTTTCTTGCAAACCCGGTGACCAACCACGTCCAAAGTGCCGAACAACACAACCAAGATGTCAACTCTTTGGGTTTGATTTCCGCAAGAAAAACAGCCGAAGCAGTCGATATCTTAAAGCTCATGTCATCCACATACTTGGTCGCTCTTTGCCAATCCGTCGATTTGCGACATTTGGAAGAAAACATGAAATCCACCGTCAAGAACACCGTAAGCCAAGTCGCCAAGAAGGTCCTAACCATGGGTGTCAATGGCGAACTCCACCCATCAAGATTCTGCGAAAAAGACTTACTTCGTGTGGTCGATAGAGAATACGTCTTTGCCTACATTGATGACCCATGCAGCGCCACTTACCCATTGATGCAGAGACTCCGACAAGTCCTCGTAGACCACGCTCTAAACAACGGCGAAACCGAGAAGAACACAAACACCTCCATCTTCCAAAAGATCGCTACTTTCGAAGACGAATTGAAAGCCATTTTACCCAAAGAAGTCGAAAGTGTTCGAACCGCATATGAAACCGATTCTTTATCGATTCCCAACAGGATCAAGGCTTGTAGATCATACCCATTATACAGATTCGTTAGGGAGGAGCTCGGCGGAGGTTTCTTGACCGGCGAGAAGGTGACTTCGCCTGGGGAAGAGTTCGATAAGGTGTTCACAGCCATGTGCAAGGGTGAACTCATCGACCCATTGTTGGAGTGTGTTGAAGGGTGGAATGGTGCACCACTTCCAATATGTTAGGAGTCATGATCGCTTTACTTGCTACTTCTTAATGTTTTGCTTTAATTTTGTTGAATTTATGATTCAAATTTGTACGTGTTGTCTATGTCTCATCAAAGACTTCTGTGTTGTGTATGTGGTTGTAAATCATAAATATTAACTTATTTTATTAATTTTGGTGTTTTTATTTTGTAACAACTTATCGAAATAGCTATAATTATTTCTCCCTTACATGAATCTCTCTCAACCAAGTGTTATAATGGTTGGGCTTTATTTACGTAGAAGCTTTATCCGAGACATGATATTTATAATTCTATTTATATCGACAATAGCTCATATCATTATCAGATACAGATAGCATTTAAAAACCTTTCAATTTATGTTCGATTTCACATGATTTTGTAACGATTTATTGGAATTTTAAAAAAAGGTTTTAATGGTTACAAATTAATGGTTAATCTACAATAAAAACGAAAAATATCATGTTGGTAATGAATAATGGAACAAGATTTCACCAAAGACAATATTGAGATGACCAAAATCGTCTAAAACCCAAAATGTATGTTCGATGAAATAATAGTGGTGATAAATATGTTATGTAACAACGGAAAAAATTAACTTTAACCTTTTACCCATTTTATTCGTGTTCCACCGATAAATATCGACTCTTTATCTTTTTTTCTCGCTCCTACTACTATGATTTAATTTAAATTGTCATTTATGTAATATATAAAAGTTAACAGTCATTAGTGGCAAGAACCAAAACGTTATGAATATACAAACTCTTGGAGTTATTTCAGGAAAAAAAAAATTTGGAAACTAAATCCAAAACAAATTTAAACCATAAAACCCAAAACCCTAACTTACTCTAAAACAATATCTGCATATCAGATTTACACATCATAATCCCATCTTGCAAAAATATTGTTTTTGGTATTTAATTATTTAAACAAATTACAATATTTCAAGTCTTAACATCAATATCAACATAATTATATTCGATTAATTATTAAAACAACATCATTACATCAATTGATCATTGATTTATAAACAAATAATTAGTTAATTTGGAAAAGGGCCAAATGGTTGCGGTGAAAAGTTTTATACATTGGTTTCTTTTAAACAAAATTTGGGTTCTCGATCTCGATAATCGTCAAAAATTTTGGAGTGGAGGGGCTAGCATCAGCGTACCCTCCACTATCTCCGCTCCTGACAATGACATTCACGAGGAACATTTTTGTCTCACACCTGTTATTATGAAGATTCTACATAAGCATTAATCAGTAATCATATATGACATGATCATGTCTAGAAGCAGATCCAATAATTCTTCTGAACATATGTGCCAAACAAGTACCAACAATAAATGCAGGACAACTTTGGATCGATATTTAAGTACAAATATAACAATGATAAATTAAATGAAAAAATAACGTATTTTAACTTGATTCCTATTTTGGTTAACGTACTTTCAAAACTTTTATTTTGGTATTAAGATGTAAAGTTTTAAACATTTAAGTATTCGGGTAATCGGTTGAAACATTAACCGGTTACCATGCTGATGTGACGAGTAATGTGGTATCCAGCTCAGTATTGTTTGCTATTCAATCTCATAGAGACCCTGCTTCAAGTTGATAAAGTCAACTTCTAATTAAAATACATGTAATGAGTAATAATGATGATCAAATGCATTTGTTTCAGCTTTGAACCCTCGTTTATTATATAATTGTTTGTATATTTTATGGCTAGTTTGAAGAGGTCTTTTATTAGGATATGACCGAGTCTTGTGACAACAAAGACCCATTCATTGATCATGGGCATATAAGACTTGGATCATTTTCGCTGTTGTAGTCTGCATTCTTCGTTGAATAGGGTAATTTAAGGTTATACATATTCTCATATGGTATCAAAGACATCGTCTATCACTAAAAACATTCAATATTGGAGCAATTTTAGCCCCCTTTTGATACCCTGGGACAATCTATGTTTATCTATACTTTACTGGAAAGTGCGTGTTAAAGTCTCACACCATCTAGACTAGAATCATTTATCCTTTATATTTTTTGGGACCTCTCTACTCTTAGTAAGGGCTCTTCTAGAGAGTAACTAGAAAGATACCCGTGCAATGCAGCGAGATATATCTCAATTTTAATTATTCTTTTTATTTTATCTCTATCATGTAATAATACGATTTTATGTAGTTTTTAGAAAACGATAATGTTTTTATTTTTGAAT